AAAAAAAACATTTAACTTTACGTTTATTTAAAGGTAGTGATTTAAAAAAAAAGCAATTTTTCTTAGTGTAAAATGTAATAGAACTAGTATGCACTCAATTTTATTTTATTTATTTATTTTTTTTGCTGCACTGTAAAACATTTTAAGCCAGTAAAAAAAAACATTCTTATTCACTTTTATTTTTTCTCGTCTACTCAATTTTTGAAAACATCAGTTGGACTGACTTAAAATGTCTGAAGTTGAGTGAACATAAAAACTATTTTGGAACTTGGGTACTAAGAATTAGAAACAGGACAGGAGGCCAAACAACAATAATGGTAAACAAGACAACAAAACATGGCAGGACAAACAGGAAAAACTAATATCCCCATTTGAATTATAGTTTGAGCATTTGATTTGTCATTTAATTATACAGAATTTTACTGAATTGTTCATGAAAATAAATATCAGATACATTTCTTATCTGAGAATGCATTTTGGTCTTTTAGTAATTGATTGTATGAGCATTTGATTTGTCATTTGGGTAGTTGTTTTGAAAGTTTGATTTATGAGATCATAATTCACAATAAAAGGGTTTCTGCACCTGCACCTCCCTGTTATAATTTTTTTAATGAATATGAATTATTATTCATTAATAATTGTTCATTATTAATTAATACAAATTTTAAATTACTTGCATTATTGCAGTAGTTTTTTGTTGTTGTTAATAATAATGACATTAATGTTATTATTGGTGTTGCTATTATTTTTGTCGTGGTTGGAAATACTGCAAATGAGGAGGTCTGAGATCACCTCAACTTAAAGTAACAAGTTGGCAGAAGCTTTATTGGATAAACTTGCGTGAATCTTTTAACTTCTTGAAGAAAATGTAGATTTAGGTTAAGTAAACATGTTAAATGTATTCTTACAGATTTTTAAAGGTTTTTTTTACAGTTTGCTTGGTCAAACTGCTTATTTAAATGAGCTACATCAACTTTTTTAAGACAACTTAATTGTTTTTATAACAAATACAGTTCTAGCAATGGAGTTGAGGATCCAAATGCAGTGTTTTTATTAACAAGAGTAGTCAGGCAGCCAAAGGTCACAAGCAGGAGCAAATAGTAAAACACGTCAATCCAAAAGAGTAGTCATGTCACACGTGAAGACCTCTGTAAGTGCTACAGGATAACAAGACTAAGCTAAATGTAAGTCTGAATAAGATGCATGAGTCCTGGCAATCCATGAGCTTCTAGCTGTTTGTGAGTAATCAGGAGAATCAGGAACTGGTGTGTGTGTGAGGTGCATGATAGTGTTTGTAGTCCAGTTCAGTGACAGAAGTGTAGTTCTCCAGCGATCTGCAAGGATTAGATCATGGGTGATCTTGACAGTTTTATGTTCAATCCAATTAAATTTTTAAAAACATAAGTTAACTTAATTTAACTTTATTTCATTTTAATTTGTGTCGGGAGTCAGGACAACATGAATGAATTCAACCCAGCGTTTTTTACAGTGTGAATAATATTATTTTCTGCATTTGGAATGCAATTCAAGGCTGATCTTTAGGTCAAAGATACACTTTAAGTAAATCATGTTATGAATATACAGATTATTTAAAAAAAAATGATAGCATGTAGAAAATTACTAAACAAAAGCTGCTCCCTATCTTATGTGCATCTCTCAAATACTGTCAGTTGAACTTAATGACCTTCTTCTAAATGTATGTGCTATGTAATAAATGACATCTCACTGAAGCACAGTGAGGAATGAACCATAGCTAGTATTATTATTATTATTATCACTGCAGTGCTTTTTGTTTTTAGAGCATTCACCTTGACAAGGCTTGTATAAAACAAGCCAGTACAGCTCTCGTGGCTGATGTGCTGCTGCTGTGTGCATAATGGTAAACTGAGGTTAACCGTGTGAGATAAAAGTACAGTTAATTAAACAATCAAAACATATTAATGCTAAGGAGCTCTTATGGAAAGTAACATGGCGTTATGTAATTGTTATGGCATTATCGTCAAAACACCCTAATTATACATGCCTGATATTATATTTAGAGGCTAAACAGCTGTGTGTTGCATGACTTGAACTGATCCAGTACAGTTGAAAAGAAGAAAGGAAAAAAAGTGTAATTTGAGTGACAGGAGAGAAATGTGAAAACTAGAGGATGATTCCTGAAATGTCTGGACTTGTTGCTGTAGCCCAAAGACATGGACACATAGACATGGACACAAACACACAGTACTACCTGCAGGCCAACAACAGGCCCATACCTGTCTGTTTGACACCACAATGTGACTTTCAACTTCACATTTGAAAACGGTCATTCATTCTGATCTTATAATTGTTTTTTAACCCAAATTGCTCAGCATGTTGTTTTTGTTGTCGTGCCTCAATTCCCGTAAACTGTAAAAATGTATTTTATTTATATATTTTTTTTTATTTTAGAATTGAAATACAGTACATTTCACAAAAGTTTTGCTTATTAAAAGATTTTTTGAAAAGTTCTTAAATTATTGAAATACCTTATAATATATATATATATATATATATATATATATATATATATATATATATATATATATATATATACTGTATATATATATATAAACTACAATTACTATGGTATAAATACAGCACTACAACATACAAAAGACAGAGATCGACTTAAGCCTGATTTATACTTCTGCGTCAGGTGATCGGTGTAACCCATGGCGCATGCAACGCGCATGGCTGTGTATTTATACTTCTGCGCGCTGTCTCTGTTGGTCTGCATTAACACTTCCGAAACGCTAGTGGGCAGTGAGGTGTACATGTTTCTCTGTGTCGAGTTTCTTAGCTGCTTTTTTGCTTTTCCTGAACACTTCCGGGATGTACAAGTGGCTTCAAACTTGCTCATTTTGAGGCAGGAACCAGCGGACGTGCAACAACTTTAACTATGAGGTAAACACAAAACAAAACTTTCCATCCGGAGTTCCTTCACGGGACTCCACACTTGTAAACAATCGCTCGCGCCATTCGAAGCCGACCAATCACAGGGCTTACGCTACGCGTCGTTGCGACGTGTAGTTACATTTTTTGAGAGGTGCACGTCAGTGACGGCCACGGTCACGGCGAAGGGCTATGCGTCAGCGCCGTAGCATACGCCGGCGTTTGACGCAGAAGTATAAATCAGCCTTTAGGCCCAATCCCAATTCCATTTTGTCCCCCTTCTTCTATCCCTTTCCCTTCTCCTTGGCCCTTGAAACAGAGTGTGAAGGGCTTTAAAATTTACCCCTAAGAATTGGGACAGCACTACAGCACCTGCACACGTCATCATATGTCATCGGGCTCTCTTGCTTCATATGTGATCAACAAATGGCTGTTGTAGTATTACAGTTGCGTTATTTTTTTTTTCTCTACAGGAAATCTCTAAAGGCATATATTATGTCATCATAATGATAAAATGTGGCAATAAGATTGTAACTATACTGCGCATTTACACAGTGGCCATATTCATCTATGTAAACACACAAAAACAACATTAACATGTTGAATGAATGTATTAAAACATATGCTTTGTTTGTCGTAAAAATTCGTAATAATGGACGTGTACAGCTATGCTGCCGTTGTAGCTGGTGTATTCCGGAAAATTTTCGTACACATTGGTTTTGAGTTTTGCCCTGAAAAATCTCAGTTTTAAGGGCTATCCAGCCCTTCCCCTTAGCCATATGCCTTCAAAGAATTGAAGAATTGAAAGAATTGGGGCACGCACCCCTACTCCGTCACGTGAATGCGCAAAATGAAGGGTGGGGTAAGGGGAAGAATTGGATTAGGGCTTAGAAAGTCACTCAACAGTTTAATAATGATTTGATTAGATGTAGTTAAAAATTACACAGAGTTTTTCCTTTTCTAAGGGCTTATTATGTGGTCTCGGTCGCCATCTTGTGGATGAACAATGTCAACCGTCTGCTCTGCTCAATGACAGGCTGATGGATGCCGACGTGCTGTATCTCAGAAATGCACTATCCTCATAAATAAACTTAAAAGATGCAATCTAAACAACTACATTCTCGCCTAAAAATACCTCAAAAGTACATTATGTTGTCCAACAGCTGCAATATTTGTCAAACTGTATAGTGAGTTTATTGATCTGCTGTCACTCTATGTGGGCGGAGTAATACACAAGAGTTAAAAGGCTATACGCGTTCTGATATTGCAGACTATTGCACAGCTACCAGTCAATCCGATTCAAGAACCAGACAGAACTGTTTGTATGAAAAGAAATACAGTTCTGTTGTAGACAAGCCATGTTGTGTTTGAAGTTAGCATCTTGTGCTTAAACACAAAATGGTGGAAAATGCCAACTCTGTTATTGTCTGCACTGTTAGTGGTTTAACAATAACCTAAACAACAATTACTAACATAATCAAATGTTTTTTAAGCATTTTACATTAATTAATTCAGTTTACTGTAAATTATACCTTTATCATTCTAATTTAGGGATTTAAATTTTTAAACAGGGATGTATTAAACTGATCAAAAATAACAATAGATCTGTTACAAAAGAGGTTTTATTTATTTATTCATCTATTTACCTTCAGCTTAGTCCCTTATTTATCAGGGTTTGCCACAGCAGAATGAACTGACAACAGATGTTTTAAATAAATGCTATTATTTAAACTTTGCATTCATATAAGAATCATGGAAGCAAATGTATGCAAGCATTTCCAAAGTATTCATCAGGTCATGTTTTCATCAATCAATCAATCAATCAATCAATCAATCAATCAATCAATCAATCAATCAATCAATCAATCAATCAATCAATCAATCAATCAATCAATCAATCAATCAATCAATCAATCAATCAATCAATCAGCATATTACAATGATAATAAAGGATCAAGTGACTGAAGAATGGAGTAAAAATTATGTAGGGGCAAAATAATAATTTAAGATATAAAACTGTTATTTCATGTTGTGAAATGTGACCTCTCTCTCTCTCTCTCTCTCTCTCTGTCTCTCTTTCTGTGTAGTTCTGGCAGTATGGTGAGTGGGTGGAGGTGGTAGTGGATGACAGGCTGCCTGTGAGAGAGGGCCGTCTGCTTTTCAGCTACTCTCGCACCAGCAACGAGTTCTGGAGCGCCCTGGTGGAGAAAGCTTATGCCAAGTCAGTTCCAGCATATGTGTCCTTGACTGTGTGGATGTGTGAATGTTCATTAGCAGCCATTGTTCCTCTCTGTTTTATTTTTAGAAAAACATCCAGTTGTAAAACAAACCTTTTCAAATGCAGCTCATGGATGTCGAGCAATTCATTTAGAAACAATCCAAGCAGTGGAAGCCAATTAGCAGAATTCAGATGAGTGTGTGTGTGTCTGTTCTTAAAAGTGAAATTGAGTGTGAGAGGGGGGTGGGTGAAAGAGGGAAGGTGGGATTTTATTTACTAACAATATGCATGTTTTAATGTGTAGTAGCTGAAACTGTTTGTCTATGGAATTCAATCCTTAACCCAGAGACATTCCAACTTCATATGAAAACTTCATTCATTCATTCATTCATTCATTTTCTTTTCGGCTTAGTCTTTTTATTAATCTGGGGTGGCCACAGTGGAATGAACCACCAACTTATCCAGCATATGTTTTAAGCTGCTGATGCACTTTCAGCTGCAACCAATCACTGGGAAACACCCATGCACACTCATTTAAACACATACACTACACAATTCACCAATAGTGCATGTCTTAGGAATTTTTTTTTTGGGGGGGGGGGGGGGGGGTTGGGGATTTCTTGCTGGTAGGTAACCCACTGCACCACCGGGCCACCCATATGAAAACTTATTAAAACATATTTATTTTCATTAACAAATACAGATAACTTTTAAGCTTTTACTAAATGGGCACTGGATTATTATGGCGCGGTGAAGACTTTCGATCCCAGGTAATGAAGGACACAACCGGTGGATCCTACACAGCCTCCAACACCTCAAGATTTAATGTGTGCTGGTAATGGCAGAATGATTTTAAAAGAAAACTCCAGATTACAGTTTTAAATGATTGAATTAGGTTTCATTTAATTGGATATCTAAAGAGTATGACATTTCCTACTAATAAATGATTTTATAGACAGTTTTATGTGTACATATAAGAATCAAAGGAAATATATTTCCAGTTTTTCTGAACCTTGTTTTACCTTCAGATCGCTAAACATAAGCTTTAAAATTACTTTGAGGACAAAGTCATTACAAATTGTATTACCTGCTTAATAATGGCAACTGTTATGGTTGGTAGATAATACCAAAGACTTTAGTATACATTTGGATTAAATTTGTCACAATTTACCGGTATTTTGGAATGGATGTGTGAATGGTCTTTTCAGAAAAATTCCGGAATGTCCTTGACTGTGTGACCAGCGCTTTTTTGAGTTTACCGGTAAAGTTGTTCCAATTTTTACCAGTATCACTGTGTAAAAGGGGCTAATGAGATCTATACTGCAGGCTAGATTGTGTCATTTTAAAACGCTTCAAAGGATGCAACCTGTGAAACGAGACACAGCCAATGTTCATAAATTATGTTTTTTTTTATTGTGCATTAATTTGCAAAAAGTTTCCCAGAGATGAGTTGCGGCTGGAAGGGCATCCGCTGCGTAAAAACGTGCTGGTTGAGTTGGCGGTTCATTCCGCTGTGGCGACCCCAGATTAATAAGGGGACTAAGCTGAAAAGAAAATGAATGAATGAATTTGCAAAAAGCTGTTTTAGTATTGCAAATGAAAATGATCTTTAAGTGTAAACCCTACTTCAGACTTTCCTGCGGCATTCTGTGCATATATTATTGTCTTTGTGTTGATACCTACACATTAACATGCAATAAAAATACCATCAAATGCAGTGGATGGATATTGAGCAATTAAAGGGGTAGTTCTCCCCCAAAAATGAGAATTATGTTGTCTATTACTCACCCTCATGTCGTTCCGAACACCTCATTTTTCAGAGACAGCAATGTCCCGAGATGTTTAAGGTACAGAAAAATAACCAAAAACATTGTCAAAACAATCCATGTGACATCAATGTTTAAATTGTAATCGTACAACGCTCCAAGATCCCTTTTGTGATCCAGAAGAATTGTAAAAAATATTGCACCAGGACAGGGTGCATGTTTACTGTAGGCAGGGGCGAATTTAACCAATAAGCGAGATAAGCGGCCCCTAATAAATAGAAGTGTAAGTATAAAAGTATAAATTATACCTATAAACTATATATAACTTAATTTTCTACCTTATTTTGTATGGTGAGAGCTAAACAAATACAATTTTAACAGAATTAAATATTATTTAGCATTTAATCAATTATTATATTATTATAATAATGTAATGTAAAATAAGATATCCATCATGGAGCACTCCAGCTGTCAAATTGATAAAAAATATATATATTTATTATTTTTAGTTTTAAATTCTTAAGAAAACTAATCATTTAAAATGTAGAGATTGCATTAATTTAAAAGAGATTAAGTGATATAAAAAAACAGCAATATAAATAAAAAAAATTTAAATAGAAAGGGGGCATTTTAGGACTTGGGCCGTATGGCTGGAACTGCTTAGGTTAGCACGTCTAGTTAGCTCGTCTGCGCAGGAGTGCATCCATATGAAATTACAGTTTGAGTGCAGCTTCAAAAGTCTCTACATGATATCAGCCCAGTTTTATAGGTCCTCCAAACATAATGTCGAGATCAACTTGATAAGGGAAAGTCTTGACACACTTAACGGAAAGAAAACGGCACAGATGATGTGTACTGCAGAGCTTTTGTATGGCCGGCATTCGTGGTTCGCTACGATCTGCTCACATAAGTATAGCAACTGCGGCGCCCGTTGCCTTTGTAACGAGGGGTCTGAGACAGTATTACAATCCAAATGCAGAAGTTTTATTAAAGGGTTTAGGCAGAGACATCAGTGAGTAAACCGGCGGAAAGCTGGCAACATATAAGCATGTCCAATCTAGCCAACAAACACAGGGGCAAATCCAGACAACGTAGTGAGAATGCAGGTAAAGGTTCAGTATAACAACTATCAGTCCAAAACAGATCAAGATACACAGGGGCAAATCCAGAAGACGTGGTGAGAAGGCAGACAAAAGTTTAAGGCAACAATAAGCAGTCCAAAACAGAGCAAGAGGGCAAAGACAGATAACGTACTTGATCAAGGCTGGCAGGGTCATACACAGGCAGGCAGTCATGAAAGTCTCTTGGAACAAAGCTTGGTAATGCAGGTGAACTGGCAATACTTCGCAAAGAAGCATGGCCTGAGCTCTTGCTGAAATTGAGCACAAACAGGAAGTGACTGCAGAGAGAGTGGAGCTGAGTCAGAAGTCCGGCGAGGGCTCCCTCTGCTGGCGTGGCGTTACAGCCATTTGTTGCCAGAAAAAACGGTGAAAGGCTAAGGGAAAAGGCACTAAAGTAAGGTTGACAGATAGGAAGTTTGTTGCAACAATCTTAATGAAATCCTGGCCTCAGGGATTTCCCCCCTCAGGGACACCCATTAGATAAATTACTAAAGGACTTTCATGCAAGCTGACACAGGTGTCGATTGTTAATGACGTCACTTGCAGAGGAAGCACGGTTGCCTGAGAGTGCAAGTCTGAGAGTGCAAGACTGAAAGTGCAAAAGTGTAAATCTGCAGCCAGACTCTATTGCCAAAATCACTAAATCCGCCCCTGACTGTAGGCAACATGACATCTTGCCAAACAACACACAAGTATCATTTTGCTCATAGTAAACTCACAACCTAATCTGATGTGGAACACATGGGCGAACAAAGTCATCGACATGAGAGTGAGTAATTAGAAAGAGATTTCATCTTTTTGGGTGAACTAACCCTTTAAATGGAAACAATCACCCCAAAGGAAGCCAGAAAGTAACACCAGTGTGTGTGTGTGTGTGTGTGTGTGTGTGTGTGTGTGTTTGAAGGCTGATTGGTTCTTATGGCAGTCTAAAGGGCGGGATTATCTCAGAAGGAATGGAGGATTTTACAGGAGGAATTGCGTACTCTCTTCCGGTGTCTTCGCGACCCCCGCGCATGCTCTGGAAAGCCATCACCGCAGCCCTGGCCCGGAACAGCCTGCTAAGCTGCTTCATTCATGTATGGACTCTTATACACACACAGTGACTCTCACAGCAACCGTCCTTCATTTTTTCAGATAAAATTATTTTATGTTTTTAATTAATTGTCAAAAATGTCAGGTTTTACTATCCTTATATTATATTCAGTTCTCACAAAGCAGGCAAAACAGGAGCCACGTAAGCATATGCACACCTCTATGATGCACACACATAAACAAAGGGATATTCAATAGATTTTTATACTGTACAGACTATGCATTATATTCCCTAATCCTAACCGTAAAATACACAAACACCAAGAATCTGTATATTTTTGATTTGACACAGTTTCTTTAAGATAAACCAGACTATGAATGTTTGTCATGAAGATCATCAAGTTTCTGGTTTTGGAAAATTGTTTTACTGAAACAAAGTGGTAAATTCTTAATAGGTGACTATCAGAGCAGCTCTTAACATTATGTTCATCTTTAAAAGCTAGTAGCTTTATAATGTCAGATGACAGATGAGCACTGAGTATGCGTAGTAGCTGGAATCGTCCATTTAACTAATTAAAGGGATAGTTCATCCAAAGCTGAAAATTATGTCTTAACATAATTAACATAATGTTTAAGATTCTTTCTTTTATTGAATATAAAAGCAGATACTTTGAAGAAAGCTGAAAACCTGTAACTATTGACTTTCATAGTATTTGTTTTCCCACCATTGGATGTCCATTGGATTAAGTATGTTTCCAATAGTGTGTATATATATATACAGTTGAAGACTGTTGAATTATTAGCCCCTCTGAATTATTCGCCACCCTGTTTAATTTTTTCCCCCAATTTTTGTTTAATGGAGAGATTTATTCAACACATTTCTAAACATATTGGTTTTAATAACTCAATTCTAATAACTGATTTATTTTATCTTTACCATGATGACAGTAAATAATATTGTACTAGATATTTTTTCAAGACATTTCTATACAGCTTAAAGTGACATTTAAAGGCTTAACTAGATTAATTAGGTTAACTAGACAGTTTAGTGTAATTAGGCAAGTTATTGTAAAACGATAGTTTGTTCTGTAGACTATCGGGAAAAAAACATTAGCTTAAAGGGTCTAATAATTTTGTCCCTAAAATGGTTTTAAAAAAATTAAAAACTGCTTTTATTCTAGCCGAAATAAAACAAATAAGACTTTCTCCAGAAGAAAAAAATACTATCAGACACACTGTGAAAATATCCTTGCTCTGTTTATCATCATTTAGGAAATATAAAAAATAAAAAAAAATCAAAGATCATATATATATATATATATATATATATATATATATATATATATATATATATATATATATATGTGTGTGTGTGTGTGTGTGTGTGCGTGTGCGTGCGTGTGTGTGTGTGTGTGTGTGTGTGTGTGTGTATGTATTATGTATGTATGTGTGTATGTATATATATATATATATATATATATATATATATATATATATATATATATATATGTGTGTGTGTGTGTGTGTGTGTGTGTGTATGTATTATGTATGTATGTGTGTATGTATATATATATATATATATATATATTCAACATAAGAAATTAAAATATTCTTGAAAAGAGTGTATAAATAATGAGTACATTTAAATTTTTTAGGTGAACTATAACTTTAATTCTTTTAATATGCAGATCTGTAAAAGATTTCTGAAGTGTAATATAAATACAGACATTAGACCATATGTCCATTTACTGTAGTGTACAAGCATGCCTCATCCAGAGTTTTTGTGTGTGTTTGTAACTTGTATTCCTTACACTACAGGGACCCCACAAAATGTCCCCACAAGTATAGCAGTTTCAGTCATATGCTGTATTTTGTGTGCAGGCCACCACTGTGAAGGACATTGGCACTGTGACCCCAGAGGGTCTCATCAAAGGTCATGCCTATGCCATCACTGAAACAGGCAAGGTATGAGCATAATGCACACACACATTGTAAGATAACATTCATTCATTTTCCTTTGACTTAGTCCCTTTATTTATCAGGGGTCATTCCACAGCGGATGAACCGCCAATTTACCCAGCATATGTTTTATATGTTTCACCTTCTTGCTGTTAGGCGAGAGTGCTAACCACTGAGCCACTGTATCGCCCTCTGTAAGATAATATTCATGACATTTTCCCCCTTTTAAATTGCAGTGAAGTATGTCCTAGATGTTTCTTAACAGTTTTAAAAGATTCATCCAGTTACTCTATTAAAAATAAAGGTACCAGGAAGAACCAAAAATGGGGTTTCACAGTGATGCCATATAAGAACAATTTTTTGGTTCCCCAAAGAAGTTTAATTCTTCAAAGAACTGTTTTTTCATAGATTTAAGAGCATTTTTCTAACCTAAAAATCCCTTTTCCACTACAAAAACCTTTTGTGTAATGAAAAGTAAGTACCAAGTACCAATAAAGAACCTTTTTGGAAGAGTGCAATAATTTATTTGAAATAGCCTTTGACACAAACCTTTGATTGTTAGCACTGTTTGTGTATGTTTAGGTCAAGAAGGCTTCTGAAGAGGTCTTTCTGCTGAGACTGCGTAACCCCTGGGGATTTGTTGAGTACTGCGGACCCTGGAGTGACAAGTGAGAAACCCTTCAGCAGCTTATTTTGTTCGCAAATAATTGTTTATTTTTACCTCACAAATAGATTCACATTTGTGTTTGTGTGTATGCAGGTGTAAAGACTGGGACTTCGTAGACAACACTGAGAAGACGAAACTTGAATTGGCCAAAGTTGAAGATGGAGAATTCTGGTGGGTGATGTAAAAAATATGCGTAAGGGCTTTGCACACTTGAAATTGTTAACACTGGGTCATCCTTAACCCTGGAGAAAAGGACCCAGAATGGGTTATCTGTAATCATGTCACTATACTGTATATACTGTACTTGATGTTAGCAAATAATTCTGTGTATTCAAACATTTAATTCCTAAACCAACATTGTAATGTTGCCATTCCTTAAACACCTAAAAGGCATTTAGAGACTGAATACATTAAGTATTTCAGATGTAATTTTGTCCCATTCTTCCTGCAATCAAGTCTTTTGGTTATCATTGTCTTATTGAAATATGAACGGGCATCCCTGGACAAGAAGACAGTGTATTGTGCTCCAAAATCTTTATGTACTTTTCAGTGTTAACAGTGCTGGTAACAGTCTGCATTTATTTCTCCCCAAAAAAACTGAAATGCTAATACACATTTCCACTGTGTGATGGTCCATCCTAGATGCCATCCTAGAGGGTTTCCTCTTGGCACAGTTCTGTTTTCCCTAGCGTTTGTGGATGTAACAACATATTGTGGAATGTGAAAAAGGTTCCTGGAATCTTTCAATTATGTTATGCACGATTGAAGGTGAAATATCCAAAAGTCTTCCTATCTTTCTTTGAGGAACATTTGTTTTTAAACATTTAATAATTGCCTCATGTTTTGGCAAACTGATGATCCTCAGCTTATCTCTGCTCTTAAAGGATTAGACCTTTCTTGCATTCTGCTTTTGTACCAAATCATAATTACAATCACCTGTTGACATCCCCTGTTTCAAATCACATCATTAACCAATTTACCAATAACCAGACAAAACATTAAGTATTTTGTGTTTATATTGTTCGCAATTAAATTCAAGTGAAAGTTAATTTGGAAATCACTTTTCTTTTAATTTGCATTTACCATATTGTCCTAGCTTTTTCTGATTTGGGACATTTTTACATAAAATGTCGCCACATACAGTCGGTTTTTAGCTAAGCTTCACAAGATGCACAAAGAAAGAAAACAAAGACAGAAGTACAAATGATTGAAAACAAGGAGTAAAGTAAGGCATATAAAAATCTCTAGATCACTCTAGTTTACATGCTTTCCTTATTTTAATGTTTTAATTTTCCATTTTGCTTGACAAAAAATATTTTTATGATGCTTTAACTTAAATTAATAAGATAATCAGGTTTCAACTAAATGTTTATAAGTTATAAATTCAAAGTTTAATTTAATATGTTAGTAAGATTGTTTGTTGTAAGTTGAGATGACTAGGGAAGAACTAAAAAGTTTAAAGCAGCAATTATTTTTTTTACAGTGTAGGTTGCTGACATGACTCAAATTACACATGTAAAATATGTTTTAGAACGACAGTAAGGGGTTAAGCACAGTGTGAAATCCCTGCAAGTGTCCAGTCTCTGCAATTTTCACTCCAGATGTTATGAGCAATAAAATGGCTTTTACTTGTTTAAACTAGATTTAGAGTATATATATATATATATATATATATTTAAGTACACTTTAAAGAAGAAAGGCACATTAACAATGTTTTGGTAGACTGAAAATCCAAACATTTAAAAACAGTACAAAAAAACATAATTTGTATGGGAACATTACCATATATAAACAAGGAAAATAAAAATGTTTGTTTGTTTGTTTTTATATATAAAGCACTTTTACAATGTAGATTGTGTCAAAGCCGTTTAAAATGTCTTTACAAGCTCACTGCTCTTCTGATTTAAGTGTTTGCCAAAATGGAATCAGTTAAATGCCAAGAATTAAACAATGCTAACTGTCACTGCAGTCTTTGCATTTCTTAAAGTAATCAAAGGAAGGAAGGGATGAAAGGAATGGAAGTTCACCCAAAAATGAATATTCTGTCACCATTAACTCAGCCTTAACTCAGCCTTTTTTTTTCCTTCTGTTGAACACAAAAGAAGATATTTTGAAAAATGTTGGAAACTGGTAACCATTGCCGATCATAGTTGGTTACCAGTTTCCAACATTCTTTAAATTATCTTCTTTTGTGTTCAACAAAATATCAAACTACTATCAAACTTTTTGGGTGTATTATGCCTTTAATAAGTCATCGTGTTCAAATCTAATCTTTGTTAACATTTATGTTTTTTCAGGATTAGCATAGAGGACTTTTGCAGATTTTATAATACAGTGGAGATGTGCAGTGTGGATCCAGACTCTATGTCGGGGGAAGAGAGTGAAGATACAAGCACCTCGTCCTGGACACTGAGCTTACATCAGGGAACCTGGGTCCCAATGTGCTCTGCTGGCGGCAGCCGACGATACCCAAGTAATCATATAATTGTTAATGGATATGTCTTATTAATATATTATAATATAGCTGCTTAAAATATTGTGTTCAAACACTGTTCAAACACCCACACAATCCTATTTCTAAAAGACTACAATACACATTGATTAATTAAACTGCTGACAACAGCACATTCAGATTTTCAGTCTCATTTAAATGGAATAGCAGTTTATATTTAAATAAATATGATGCTTAAAAAATAGGTGACTTTAAGCAAATCAAACAAAACAATTCATTGAATTCTGTTCAAGCGATTTGATCAAAAATGCTGATTCATCCCTTAATGAAGCTTTGAGTAAACTGCTAAATACATGCTAAATTTCAGCAGATAAAACTGTAAGAACTTCTAGAAAATTATTTGACTTGTATTTATCCTATCCAGAATCATGCAGCTATATAATATAATATAATATAAAATAATATAATATAATATAATATAATATAATATAATATAATATAATATAATATAATATAATATAATATAATATAATATAATATAATGGGTTTTTTTTTTGTCCATAAAATTTTTCTTTTATTTTGAATTATGTGAACACAGAAAAAACATGCCATAGATGATCAGCATAGGGCTTGGGTTAGGATTCCTAATAAAATCCTTAACAGCATCCTTAGATCAACTGAACTTTTTTTATATTGACAAAGACTGTTAGTTCGTTTAAAAACTTTTTTCTGAATGTTTCATCTCGAAGCAGCGTGGTATTGAAACGCCATCTGGGGGCTCGAGCTGGGTTTTGACTTAACAAAACTGAAGCAATCACTGGCTTGTAATCAGAAAATGCTACCTGCAATAAACTAGCACTTACAATATTGTGAAACAAACCTCTAGAAGAAAAAATTAAATCAATTCGAGAAAGTGTTTTGTGTCTAGAACATAAATGGGAGTCATTTTTAACCTTCAGATTTATTATGCGCCAAAGATCCATCTTCCTGGTGTTACTAATCAAAGACTGTAAGGCCTCTGAAGCATATTTTTGATCAGCATTTTCAAAATGACCTGACCTATTTACTGAACAATCAACAACAGCATTAAAATCAGCGCCTATTATCAATTTGAAGTCTCTAGAAGAATTTTGGTGATTTGAGTAAAACATTTTTTTCAAAAGCGTTGAGTGCATAAATTCAGACAAAGGCAATGTCTCTTTTTTTCCATTTGCACATTTGAAACTAATATTCTGTCTTTGTTATCAGCCCATGAATCCAACAACTTAAAGCGCAAGTTGTGCTGAAATACAGTGCATCCAGAAAAGTATTCATAGCGCTTCACTTTTTCCACACTATTTTGTTACAGCTTTATTCCAAAATAGATTAAATTAATTTATTTCCTCAATTGTTGCAAATTTAATAAAAATAAAAAACCTGAAAAATCACGTGTATGTAAGTATTTACAGCCTTTGCTGTGAAGATTTAAATTGAGCTCAGGTACTTTCTGTTTCCACTGATCATTCTTGAAATGTTTCAGCAGCTTAATTAGAGTTCACCTGTGGTAAATTCAGTTGATTGGAAATGATTTGAAAAGGCATACACCTGTCTATATAAGGTCCCAGGGTTGACATTCTTCTGTGACGTTCTTGAGAACCTTACAGAAGGACAACCATCTGTGCAGCAATCCATCAATCAGGCCTGTAAGGTAGAGTGGCCGGACGGAAGCCACTCTCTGTCTGGAATTTGCCAAAAGGCATCTGAAGGACTCTCAGACCATAAGAAGCAAAGTTCTCTGATCTGATGAGACTAAAATTGAACTCTTTGGAATGAATGACAGCAGTTCCGTTTGGAGAAAACCCAGGCACCGCTCATCACCAGGCTAATACCCTCCCTACAGTGAAGCATGGTGGTGGTGGTGGTTTTTCTCAGCAGCAGGAACAGGAAGACTAACTAGGATAGAAGGAAAGATGAATGCAGCAAAGTACAGAGACATCCTGAATGAAAACCTGCTTCAGAGTGCTTTTGACCTCAGACTGGGGCGACGGATACTCTTCCAGCAGCCATAGCTCACACCTAAATCCTATAGCTGTGAAAATGGCTGTACACCATCACTTCCCATCCAACCTGATAGAGCTTGAGAGGTACTGCCAAGCTTGTGGCATCATATTCAAAAAGACTTGAGGCTGTAATTGTTGCCAAAGGTGTATCAACCAATTGAGCAAAGGCTGTGAATACTTATGTACATGGGATTTCTCAGGTTTTTATTTTAATTAAATTTGCAACAATTTCAAAAAATCTTTTTCACATTGTCATTATAAGGTATTGTGTGTAGAAATTTGAGGAAATAAATGAATATAATCCATTTTGGAATAAGGCTGTAACATAAACAAATATGGAAAAAGTGAAGCGCTATGAATATTTTCCGGATGCACTGTATAATCTCCACACCTTTAGACTTATTTATGATATTTTATGATTAGAAATCTGATTTATATCCTTCTTGACCAGATGAGTCCCCTGAAAAAGGCTACATTTACTCTTTGTTTACACAAAAAATCTAGAATAGCAAGACGTTTCACTGGATTATTCAGGCCCCTAACATTAGGGTAAGAATATTCAGCTTGACATCATTAACCATTTATAGAATAATACAAAGGTAAATAACAACAAACAAATTTGAAAAAACAAACTATGCAGAGAACATGATAGATTGTTTATAATTAGGTTTTTGCAGTAAAACGTCTGTTTTCCTAAATATGCTTCTTTATCACTTCACCATTTCCTACTCCTTTTCTATCCTGCAGAATCTTTCTGGAAAAACCCTCAGTATCAGATGATTCTGTCTGAGAAAGATGTGGATGATCACGATTATGGAGAGGGTGAGGAAGGAGATGACGGAGGGGATGGAGAAGAGGATGAAGATGTCAGTTTGTTACCTCCTGTGAGCAAAACCAGCAAACCGGGAGAGAAAAAGAAGAAGTGCACAGTGCTGGTGGAGCTTCTCCAGAAGTACCGCAGACAAAAAGATAAAGTCAACTTCCTCTACATCGCGTTTCATATCTATAAGGTGAGGAACTGACAGACAAATGTCAAGAAAGTGTAGAGATACCTTACAGCAAAAAATATATATAGATATGTTTTAAGGTACATGAATTTTAACACTATTTGTGTAAGTCTCAAGGGTTAGTTTACACAAAAATAAAAAAATTCTGTAGGTAATTAAGGGTGCATTCACACCTAGACTTTTGTTTTGGAACCTTTCTGCCCTGTTAGCACGGTTCGTTTGGCATATGTGAATCCAGCAATCGCGCTCGGATCCACGCCAAAACAATCGATCGGAGATCGCCTGAATGAGGTGGTCTCGGCTCGATTGAAACGAACTCTGTAGCGATTGATTGTAGTGAGAAATCGATACAAACCGAGCCCGGTTATATCACAGTGTTTTATGGATATGTAATAGGCATACGGCTATATGAATAGAGAATTATGAGTAGGGCGGGAGGTCATTCCAGAGATACCAAGTCTCCTGGTAGTTCCGGGAGTCTCCCACAAATGCACAGAAACTTCTGGATGCCCGCAAATGAGTGATATTCTGCGTCCCAATTCGCATTATTATACTGCGCCCTCAAAGTATGTACTGTTTTTGTGAAGGAAAAGTTTATACTTTTGAGTGAGCAACAGAAGAGTATGCAAGCTTTGGGACATACTACTTCCTCTTTAAAGGGCCATGAAACCCCCTCGTTTCAGCAGGGTGTTTTCACACCTCTACTTTGGAAAAAGTCAGAAAAGTGGGCGTGTCCAGCTCTGTTTAGGGGGGAGTGTCGGAGGAACTAAAGTGGGAGGGTGTGGGAGTGTCTATTTGGGCACGCGCGAGTTTCAGTCAAAATACTCACACACAGTAGAAAGTGATGGTGTTTAACCTACATGGACATCTGTAGTGGAATTATTTGCCAAATTATTAAATGGTGGACTTTAACTGCAGTTTGGCTCTTTCATTCAGGGAATTCATTCATGCCCCTCGCGACACACGAGATATTTGATTCGAGGATCTGCTCTAAGCGTGTATTTTTCATGCAATGTTTGATACCGCACGGCGAATGAGAGAAAAAAAAACCTCCGCATTTTCCGGAAACTTAGATGCACACGGCAGGTAGCGTCAGAAAGTCGCGTGTGTTATTCCGGTCACTAAATGTGGTTAAAAACCCTACACGAGGTTAAAGTTTGGTTGTGGTCCTAACATGTTACGGTGCAATAGTTAACCTAGTTCGACACGAACAAACTGAATAAACAAAGAGCACTGGTCGCTCACTTACCAAATCTGTAGAGACAGGACAATCACCAGCAACTAGAGCCGCGTCTTTATGAAGAGAATACTAACATTACAAGCGTATCCGATCTCAGCGTTTGCAGATGAGAACAGCTCTCAGGTAAACAATAATCCTCCTTAGACACGTAAGTTATTGTTGTCCAGCGTCGCGTACACTGTTAATCCACACGTGAGTCTGAGCTCTCACAGAGAGAAAAAGAAAACGAAACTTAACGGCAGTAAACTATAAAAGCAACACTTCACGCTTGTTTTGCCAACACAACGTGGCGTCCATGTCGTGTAAACACAGAAATGAATATTAATGAAGTTGCACAATAGAGCTCGCTGATTGGTTTGAACCAAGCCTTACTCATGCATTAATGCAACACACTGTAAGACGTAATAAGACTCACTCTGGCACAGACGCCCAGTCTGCACGCTGGTATACAGGCTATTATGTCATGACCGTGACGCAGCTTCAAAAATTCGTTTCAAACAGGAAGTACGAATTTGCTTGAAATAACGCAAAAACAACCAATTTACACTTTTTAGTGAAATATAGGTGTCTTAATAGTGTTTTTAGCAGTGTGGGACACATATACGACTGTCAACAGCTCAAAAAATGTGTTTTGGTGTTTCGTGACCCTTTAACAGATCGTCGTGTTGCTTAGTCATGCCCCTTGTTAATCATCCACATACTATCCACATTTCTGTCTTATTTAATTTCCTAACTTATTGGAGAAGCAGCAGCAGGTTAATCACCCATTCATGAGTCTTTCATGCAGAGAAATCTCCTTAGGTCTTTGGGTAATTATACATTCAGTCGTTCAGACATCCCAACGCGTCTTTATATAAGTTTAGTATTGTTGTTGCAGATGAAATATAACATAGAACATGCTATTTACATATTTTCCAGTGGGCCAGACAGTCATTCAAACATCTTTACCGAAGCCTCTCTACTTGAGGGTTGGTCTTGCGCGTCCATCATGTTTGTAGTTTATTTACACTTTTCACACGAGTTTGTAGTTCTAATCGAATTTGCATCCAATGCGCAATGTATTGTGGCCAATATCACCGGTTAGAGTATGGACGCATCTACACTTAAATTTTTTACCGGAAATAGCAAACTATCCGGGAGCCTTTGGCATACTCTTTTCCCTATGCAAAATAAACTGTGAAACTCTGACCAATGTAAGGAGGGTTTACTCACACATAACTTGTTTTAGCTATTTTGGTCCGTTTAGAAACTTTGCCATGTAAACGCGAATCGCACCAAGAACAAAGTGCAGCAATGTAACAATTTTGATCCCTGATTCGGAACAAATGAATCGATTCACAGGTGTTAAAGCACCCTCAGATGTACTGTAAGTGTATGAAATTGATTATAGTATTATGATTATAGTGGGTAGGAACATTAGATTAATTCAGTGTATTTATTGCCAAATCTGAGCTAGAAATATTTTGGTTTGAAATCCAAAAAGGGCAGTGCGATCTGTATAAAAATATGATAGTGTGATTTTTCTGACTGATATTGCGATTGGATTTGTGATGTCATTTTGTGGTCAAAAGTGACCACCATAGGAAATGAATGGGTATCCAGACTATATTCAGACATAAGACATCTCCATACACACCACACTCGCTCACAAAACTCTTTTCCGAGCTTTATTTTTTGAGGATGTGCCGATCCTCCAGCTTGATCTAACGAGGAAACATAACAATTTTATGTTTTGTCAGTTTAGTGGCAAATTTGTACAAGGTCAGTCGTACGAAAATACAATTTTAAACAGGAGGCATGGCACCCAACCACACCCCTAAACCCAACCATCACTGGAGGATAAGCAAATCATACTAAATTGTATAAATGAGACCGTTATGATTTAAGTGAATTAGCCACTAAATCAAAAAGTTGTGAATTGCAATATGATAGCATTGGATCTTCCAACGTAAACCAACTTCCTGATGCAACGATGCATCATATCTTCACACAGACTGAACAGGTGTCTGTTATGTGAACCCAAATGTGAATGTATGTGTTTGTGTTTTTTCTTTCCTCATTTCATTCTTTTTCTTTCTTTATTTGGTTCACTCTCTCTCTGGAAAGAAAGACAGAAAGAAAAAAAAATATTTTGTTCCTTCTTTCATTTCTTTCTTTCTTTCTTTCTTTCTTTCTTTCTTTCTTTCTTTCTTTCTTTCTTTCTTTCTTTCTTTCTTTCTTTCTTTCTTTCTTTCTGCCAATATCCATTCAGCTAATCTTAATGGACTGATGGATTAAAATTTCAATTTCTTTGGTCAGATCCTGTGATAGTTAATTAAGTGAGCTGTCTATTGGTAATGATACAAAGTATTTTAATTTCTGTCATCTAATGATGTCATCTATTTTTATTTTCACTGCAATCATATTTCGTCTATTTCTATAAATTCATCAAAACACTGCTTTGAGACATTGTTCACAGTTAAAGAACGTTGAATAGAAATTTGGTGGTGAAAAAATCTTTTTTGTGTGTGTGATAATTTAAGAGCAGTTAAAACAAAGCGTTCAATTTTGACCAGGAACACTAAAGTAAAGGGCAGGATGTGAACACATCAGGAGGGTTAAACTCAGTATTATCAATAATGCTCGGAACATACTTCAATCAATATTTATTAAGTGTCTATTTGAACATGCATTTACATAACAGTTAATTACAAAGTTACAGGATTTATTGTGAGTTTTCAAAATCACAATAACCAATTACATTTTAATGTAATTTGACATGTAATACTAATCATCAGATAATTTACTGTGGTTTACCTAATCATCACAACAACATTACTCACCCTCATGCCATTCCAATCCTCTGAGAACTTTATTCATCTTCGGAAATGAAGATATTTTAGATGAAATCCTTAAGCTCACTCGCCCTCCATAGACAGCACTGTCACCGAGTTGTTCAAAGTACCGAAAAACACTGTCAAAACCGTCCATGTGAATTCAGTTGGTTCAACTGTACACATACAAAGCTCCCACAAGTGTTGTATTGACCATAGTAAACACACAGCCTAATCTGATATGCAAGACATAGGCAAACAAAGTCATTTAAATAACACTTAAAAGTATTAGAATTGAACACTCAACACATTAGAGACATGCAAGTAAAAACAAGAAATGTAGAAATTATAATTAGAGCCTAAAAAAGTTCTGATGATGAGCACTCAATGTTTTGTAGACATTGCCATAGAGTTTATTCTGCAACCAAAATAAACGGCTGCAGCAGCAGTTAATAAAAAGGTTAGCTGTTGTGGAAAATGTAATGAGTAATTGCATTAGTCATCATGATGTAAAGATTTATATATGGATTCGAAAATATAATTAAGCAGACAGCTGCTCAGTCAAAGTACAAGGTAGCCAAAGATGGAAACTGATCACATTACTCAGAATTCATTACACCACTGTATAAAACAGAGTGGTGCCAGGCTTATAATTATGCGCCTAAAACACTGTCGAAATGGATTTACTTTATATTTATGTAATTCCCAATTCAGTGGATTTAGATTTAAAACAAATCCGCTTAATTCTAAAAATTAACAATGAATTGTGTTTAAAAATGGCAAATGAATGAATAAAATAATACACCGAACAGTTGTATTAATAAAGTCAGGAAAGTGGGGCCAGTTTTGTTTAGGTGGAAGTGTCAAGTAATTTGCATAAAAAGGGGATTTTCATTAACTACAGCTGATTTTCACACCAGCAACACAGACGCAGAGGAGACAGACAGTTACTATGTTTACATGGACATCATGATAGGAAATACGGAGTATGTAAAATAAAAAAGACTAATGCAAAGATTTTGAGAATCAATATTGAGTCCACCACATAAAACTATAGAATTTTTGTTTGTTCATTCATTCATTCATTCATTCATTCATTTAATTAAAATAAATAAGATTGGGGTAATGGATAAAATTACATTTCAAAATGGTTGTAGTGTTTAACAATATTATAGGTTTTACTATATTTCAGATTTAATGAATGCAGCCTTGTTAGGCATAAGACACCTCTCTCACACACTGCTAAATTATTTAATAATAAAATATAAATACAGTAAAAATATGATTTTAATGTGTGAGGAATATTTAGCACATATTTTTGATTTGTAACTTTGACTTAAAGTTTAAAAAAATGTTGTGTTTGATTTAATAATATATATCATTTTTACATTTAAAGAAGTCTCTGAATTGGATTTTGTGAACAAAGTACCATGATTTGTATATTTCTTTACTTTTAATATTTATTTATTTTATTTACTTATTTATGTGTGTTTATTTACGAGTTGCTTGCTTGCTTTTTTATTTATTAATTTATTTATTTATTTATTTATTTATTTATTTATTTATTTATTTATTTATTTATTTATTTGTTTGTTTGTTTGTTTTTTAATTTAATTTAATTTAATTTAATTTAATTTAATTTTATTTTATTTTATTTTATTTTATTTTATTTTATTTTATTTTATTTTATTTTATTTTATTTTATTTTATTTTATTTTATTTTATTGACTGATTGATTATCCAGCTCTGTTTGTGATCATTAAATCAATCAAATATTACATTATTAATGTTCCTGTAATTTTTTTTTTTAAATTGGGGTAATGGATAAAATTACAATTCAAAATATGTAATATCATATTCTGTTTAAAACTGTTATAGTGTTTAACAATATTATTAGTTTTACTAAAGTTTGGATTAAATGAATGCAGCCTTGACTTCACTCTCACACACAGCTAAATTATTTATTAATAAAATATAAATACTGTTACATCTATGATTTCAATGTGAGAAAGAAATATTTAGCAAAGATTTTAGATTTGTAACTAAAGCAGGAGAGCCCAAACTGTTTCATGTGAAGGGCCAAAAACCAAAAATCATTTAAAGCTGTGGGCTGAAGGTAAATATACCAAACTATATAACATTAAGTTGCCATTGGTAAAATTTAAAAATAAGTAGAAAATATTACTTTAAATAGTATTAACTAATGCAGTATAACTTTTTTAAATGGTAACTTATTGCAATTAAAACAAATAATCACATTTATAACACAGTGGAGTTTAATGCTAAATACATTAGTCAAACAAACTCTGCCTTTGACTTGATTTGCTCAATTAAGATTTACACCATTTAAGGTTACCAATAGGCCGACTTTGGCTCATATGTGGGCCCTGAAGCACTGACTTAAAGTTTAAAAAATGTTATGTTTGATTTAATAATATATATAATTTTTATAATAAAAGAAGTCTCTGAATTGCATTTTATGAACGAAGTACCATGATTTATATATTTCTTTACTGTTATTTATTTCTTTTATTTAATCATTTACATGTGTAGTTGCTTGCTTGCTTGCTTATTTATTTGAAAACTCAGACCCTTTCTGTCAATTATTTGCATATTTAAATTCCTACTAATTTGCAGTTCAATGTTCAGCAAATGTATCTTTTGTATTTCCTGCTTGTCTCACCTCTTCATTTTGTCTTTCAGGTTCCCCCTGAGGTAAGCAGTATGTCATCTAGCAGCATAAAAATACACATACAAAACACTTTTTTATACGGATAAACAAACAAACACATTCACACAATTTACCATCTTGTCCGTCTTCAGCTGAAGGACAGCCCTGGATCTCTGGATCAGCAGTTCTTCTCCAGCAACCGTGCGATTTCTCGCTCCGGCAAGTACCGCAGCATCAGGAGCGTCTGGAGGAAAGTTCACCTGGAGCCCGGCAGTTACGTCATCCTGGCCTCCACTTACAGACCCAACCAGCAGGGGGAGTTTTTCCTCCGCATTTACACCAAAACTGGCAACATACAAGGGTATGCAGAATCACAAACAAACATCAGCTCTGAGTTTTGATTGCAGCTTAATGCTGTTCAGCGGTTAACTATGTGAAACTTTCAAATCTGCTTCACAGCTTTCAGGATTTCCCCTGCACCAACAACTACTCTGCGGTAAGACTTCTGCCGACAGAAAAGAGATAAAAGAGGCGATTCTATAGTTGAAGTAACATTTTTAACATTTAATGTTTTTATTTCTTATTTAAAAAAGATGTTTATAGTCATATGAATCACAATATCACACAGGCCATAAAGATATAGCAATTTTTGGATTAAATAATTTTGTGTTGCTCAATTTAGTCCTAATTAGTCGTTTGCATAATTTTCCTATAATGTATTACTGTGTAATCAAAATATCAAAATATTGTTTTTAAATTAACTTTTAGTATTGTTTTGCTCTGAATAATCATCCTTTATAATTCTTACATAAACTTATTTATCATTTGTGTTTTAAAATATGTTTATGTATTTATAGATAGATTTATATTTTATTTATTTAGATTAATCTATAAAAAACTCTGGCCTTAAATCTTGCATCTTTCTGTTACCGATACTTTGTCGTCAAATAGGGTATATGCCGAGCTAGTGCAGTTCCCATGCTGATACACTTCCGGTGACCTGTTATTGTGAACTTTTTACCATTTTATACAGTTCCTTATACAGCATCGATGTTGTAATGTCATTAAAATACATTCAGTTAAATAAACTTTAGCATTTATTTAGTTGTTTAAGCGTAAAACGAGACAAAAGGCTGTTTACTCGCACGCGCCCGTCAGAATCGGCAGGCTAACGCAGAAGCTTCATTGAATATACTGGGGTAAAATAAATGCTTATATCATTGACCTTATTCTCCGCAGACGAGCGGGCGCTGCCATTTGAATCTTTTTGGCACGAGACTTCCGGTCTCATTCACTTCCATTCATTTTTAGACATTAAAAACTGCTCGTTTCGCTGTTTGATGTTGCAAATTGATATTTCCTTGTAATATTATTCTACTTGGTCTGTATAGTCATGCAAACATTTGTTTGTAGAGCGAGTAGTTTGACCGTTTTTTGCCGTTTATTATTTCTTGTCATTTCTCCCATAGGCGACTGAAACGGAAGTTCTAAGACAATCGCGAAAACAGGCGCACTTACGCATTTTAGAATAAGGTCAATAAAGATATGGCGGGGGAAATGTAATTTATTGCAGTGCTTCTAGTACAATCTGAGACCCACTTTAAATCAGATATCACTCAGCTAGTGGAGATCAATGATTTTTAAAGAAAACAGACCTTGAACGCACCGGATTTTGCATTGGCATTCAATTCGCCGGAAGCGCTTAACCCAGGTTACTGGCAAATTAAAAGTCCTATTAGCATGCTTCGGCATATACCCCATTAGCAAAATTATCTCCTGTAAGATACAGGAAATGATGTCACTTTCCCTCACTGATAACATCTGAAGCACTGACAGGTATGTGTGGGTTGTTTCTAGATCAGATCTGACTGCGGCCGGAAATGAATGAAAATTATTTATATTATTTATTCAATTTCCCATTTATTGTATTTTATTAATGTCTACCCTCACCCCAACCCTAAACCCAACCATCACAGTACTGTAAAAACAGTAGTTATACAGAGTATTATTAATGTTATGTATTAAATTACCCATTGAATTGTTTTTTTATAACGTCTACCCCCACCCCAACCCTAAACCCAACCATCACAATACTGTAAAAATATGAGTTATTGTTAGAGTGTTACAAAAACTATGCTATATTAATGTGCGTGTGCTGTATCCTATCTAGACTTTACCATATGTGTGCTCTTGCTGAGAAATAGTTTTGATCTGAAAAGTTATTTAAGAAAAAGCCTTGACTTCCAAAATGCTTAATTAGCACCATGTGCTATTAGCATTTATGCTAGCAAGTGCATTTTTGGGCTAAAAAGTTTAAAATTGGCAATTTTCTCTCTCTGTTGTTTTTGCAAGCACTTATTAATACATTTTCACAGCAGATGCTCTACCAGCTGCAACCCATTTCGGAAACACCCATACACACTTTTTCACACACATACACTACGGCCAATTTAGCCTACCGAATTCACCTGTACTGCATGTCTTTGGACTGTGGGGGAAACCGGAGCACCTAGAGGAAACCCACACGAACACTGAGAGAACATGCAAACTCCACACAGAAATGCCAACTGACCCAGTCGAGGCTCGAACCAGTTACCTTCTTGCTGTGTGGTGACATCGCTAACCACTGTGCCACCTTTTTGCTAACCCTAAATTATTTAAATTAAACATTTTTTTCCCAATAAGATACTAGAAAGACTTTAATGTTGTGATTTTTCTTTTTACTTTATTTGTTAACACACATGTACCTCCAGTTATAGAATCACTCATGAACAAGGACCTGTGCCTTGTGTGCTTAGCTCTCTGCATAACTATAAGTCTGTGTATTTCTATTGTCTCTAGATGGTAATGTCAAAGCCAGTCTTACCTGAGGATCAGTACAGGGTGCAGAAGTGGTTTGAGGAAAAGGCTGGATCGGTAAGCCTCTCAGTTACTTCTATTCGCTGCGTAGTAAATTTATTTCTCTGCACTATGAATAAATTTTTTAAATGAATTTAACTGTTGTCATCAGATATGACGTGTGTTTTTTCTTACATTTCAGGATGAGAGAGTGAATGCTGTGCAGTTTATGAATCTGGTAAACTCAGGTCAGTTTTGCATTCAGCACGAACTGGACATTCTTTAAAGAGCCTCTATTTTGCATTATAAAAGGTCATATTTTGGTTTTGGGGGTCTCCAACAATAGGCTGATATGCACGCAAGGTTAAAAAAAAAACACTTTTATTGTCTTATAATCTTCATTTATTTTTACCTAATTATCCCAGCAACTCCCATATGATTCGTTTAGTGATTCAGTTGTTCCCAAACCCCTCCTTGGTGTGATGCTAATCTGTGCTGTCGGATGACCCTGATAAAATTAAATTGCAAGTCAACAAGACGTAAAGACATATTCAGGTGCATCTCAATAATTAGAATAATGTTGTAAATAATGTTCGTTTTTTTTTGCACAGACTGTTTATTCTGCTTCATAAAAATCTCAGGTAATTATTTAGTTTGACCTGTACAGGTGAATCTCAATAAATTTGAATGTCATGGAATAGTTGATTAATTCACTATATATTAGTATATAAAATATTAAATAGATGTATTACACATAGATTGATATATTTTAAATGCTTATTTCTTTTCATTTTGATGGTCATGGCTTAGAGCTAATGAAATTAATTTAGTATCTCAGAAAATCTGAATATTAATTATGGCCAGATTTAAAAAAAAAAAAAAAAAGATTTTTAACACCAATATGCTGGACTACTGAAAAGACTGAACATTTAAAGCACTCAATGCTTGGTCTGGTCTTGGTCTTGGTCTGTTTTTGCACAAATCGCTTCAGCACTCAAGTTTCACTTTTTGAATTGAATTAGTGAAATTAATCAACTTGTCAATGGCATCTTAATTTATTGAGATTCACCTCTGCAGGTAAAACAGATTGAATATGGCTTCTATCCATGCGCATAAAGCAAAATAAATTGTCTGCGCAAGAAACTGAACATTATTACTTTTAATCCACAGCATCAACAGACAGTCCTGAACAGCCAGCTACAAACTCGAACTGTCATTAAGTATTCATTGTACCCTGCATTTTGACTCTCAAAGTGCTAATAGCCATTGACTTACACCAAGGGGTGGATTTAACCAATAAGAGAGTTAAGCAGCTGCTTAGGGCGCAAGAAAATCTGGGGGCCCCCAATAAATATCTAGAAGTATTCAAATTATACCTATAAACTATATATAATATTTTCTACTGTGTTTTGTTTGGTGAGAGTTAACCAAATACAATTTTAACATAATTAAATATTATTTAATATGCAATCAAATATATAATAATAATAATAATAATAATGATGATAATTAATATTATTAATAATAATAACAAAAATAATAATACAAAATAAAACATCCAAACAATTTTATAAAATATATATATACATTTATTTAATATATATATATATATATATATATATGATTTTTAGTTGTAAATTTATTTTAAGAAATCTAATCATTTAAAATGTAGAGATTGCATTTATTTAAAATGCCGAAAAGAAAATTGAGTTATATAAAAAAAACAGCAATATAAATAAAAATTCAATAAAAGTTAAAAGCGTGCATTTCAGGACTTGAGCCTTTTGACTGGAATTGCTTAAGGCCCCAAAATCATTAAATCCGCCCATTCTTGAACCAAGAACCCTAGTTTCATCTAAACATATTCTTTTATGTTCTACTGAAGAAAAAATGCCCCTGGACAGGGTGAAAATAAGCACATTAACTGTGGTATTGCTATTATTAATTTAATAATTTATATATGTATTTTGAGCTACTTTATATATGTAAACTATAAATTGTTGCTGTACCATAAATGGCCACAAGGTGGAAGTATTATGTAGCATGACTTACATCGAAGTCCAGTGTGATGAACTGGTGCTGCTCTTTGCTGATTTATTTATAAGCATTTACTTTTTTATCCAAGTAAATACAGAAGTATTGTTTTGCACTGTAACCCTAAATAAATGATGAGCAACGATTACAATGTTTATACAATATAACTTATATAACACAATTCTTTACACTCGCGTGAGATTAGCATTCATGTGAGTTGCCTAAAGCTGTTTTGTTTAACATGAGATAGGTTGGCATGTGATAACACATGATTTGCTAAGTGCTACTTTATTTATCTCTGAAATCCCCTGTTATCGGGCGCATTCTGTTTCATTTATGACCAAATATGTCTGCAAAACAGTTTTTCTGTAAAAATGTTGTGTTACAGTGTTGGAAAAAGACTATGAACTTCCTCTGGAGACCTGCAGACAGCTCATCTTTGGAGAAGATGTATCCTTTTTGTATAAAGCAGTTTTATTAACTTTATTATATATATAGCCTATATAAACATATTATATATAAATGTTCATATTTCCCCTAATTTTCTGTTTTACGGAGAGATTTTTTCAACACATTTCTAATCATAATAGTTTTAGTAACTATTTTTTAATAACTGATTTATTTTATCTTTGTCATGATGACAAGAAATAATATTTTAGATATTTTTCAAGACACTTCTATTCAGCTTAAAGTGACATTTAAAGGCTTAACTAGGTTAATTAGATTAACAAGGCAGGTTAGGGTAATTAGGCCAGTTATTGTATAACAATGGTTCTGTCAACTATCTAAAAAAATAGCTTAAAGGGGCTAATAATTTTGTCCTTAAAATGGTGTTTAAAAATTAAATATTATTCAAGCCAAAATAAAACAAATAAGATTTTTATCAGAAGAAAAAATATTATCAGACATACTGTGAAAATTTCCTTGCTCTGTTAAACATCATTTGGAAAATATTTAAAAAAAGAAAAAAATGTCAAAGGGGGGCTATTAATTATTAATATCTATCTATCTATCTATCTATCTATCTATCTATCTATCTATCTATCTATCTATCTATCTATCTATCTATCTATCTATCTATCTATCTATCTATCTATCTATCTATCTATCTATCTATCTATCTATCTATCTATCGTACATGTGCATCAAAGATGAAAAAAGATAAAAATGGGTTGTGTGAGTTTAGACAAATCTTAAGGCTTTTTAACATATTTATAGCTAATTAATTAATTTCTTACATTTCTTAACTAATCCATTAACACAGAATCAACGTGTAATTTGGTGTAGCAACCCAGCAAACAATTTTGTTTATAAGATGTCTAATAGATGTCTAATCATAGTCGTCTTGACTAAAACTAGGCTAAATTTGGACTGTGAGTGAAAATCTAATAAGAGTAGCTCAACTAGACTAGTTGTCAAATAGACCGATTAGACAGACTTTATATGTCATAATTTCTGTTTATTTGATGTCTAGTTTTGGCCTATTCTTAGACGTCTATTAGATTAGCCTTGTTTTAGCCAAGAGGACTATGTTTAGATGTCTTTTAGACATCTTTTAAAAACAAAAAATGCTTGCTGGAAACATTTTTTGTACTATACAAAAAAAAAAAAATCCAGCATGTTTAAAACCATTTGATGATTATTATTCATTTAAATACATTAAAAGACTTTTCGCTAAAAGATTTTTCAATTAATTAAAGAAAGTTATATTTCGTATGTATTCTGTTTTTTTGAACTGTCTGTTTTTCAGAAATATATATTTGGTTTCCACAAAAAATGTGCATAAAGATAGTAATACATTATGTTTTAAGCAACAAATCAGCATAATAAAATGATTTTATGCGAAGATGAGTGATGATGCTGAAAGCAAAGCTTTGCCATCATGGGAATGCATGACATAAAAAAATATATGAAATAGAACAGAGTTATTTGAAATTGCAATAACATTTCACAACATCCCTGTACTTTTGATCAAATAAAAACAGCCTTGCTCAGCAAAGCTTTAGGCTTTTTTCTTTCAAAAGCAACACTTAAAATTATGCATCCAGTACCTTTGGGCACCTTGTCATGTTGAAATTGACATTGATGTCAAAAAACATGTCAAAAATGCTAATCTATTTGATGTCCAAACCTTGACGTTATTTTGACGTCCACACATTGATGCCCTTTTGACCACCAAATTAATGATATTATAATTGTTATGATGGGGAGTGACACCGACAACAGAAGTTTGGATCCACTTGCAGGTTTATTCAAAGTCAGGCAAGCAATGGTAAATACGGGTGCAAACAGGTGTATAGAGGCAGTCCAGAATCGTAATCAGAAAACAGGCAACAGGTTGTGAGGCTGACGGCAGACTAGGACAAACGGCTAACAAGGCTAAGGTCTAAACACAGTAAACAAGACAAGAAATACGCTTTGTAATGTCACTACCCAGCTAACAAGACTCAGCAAACTGAATGGGTGAGTGTGTGGCTTAAATAGTGAGTGCAATCTCTGACAATCCTCAGGTGGTGCAGTAATCAGTCTAGATGAGGAAGCATGTGTGAGTGTGTATTTCATGTATGAAATTTGTAGTCCAGAAATGGCGGAATTGTAGTCCATGAGTTATTGTTAGTGCAAACCAGCGATCTTATGGGATATGATCGCTGGTAATCGTGACAATATTATAAGAAAAGTGTTATTCATCTGAAAGCTTCAATTCCATATTTACATTAGATGTTGAATTCTTACAATGCAAATAAACTACCTTGATGTCAAGTTGGCATTGAACATTGGTGTCAAAAACAGGTCAAAAAATAATAATTAAACACTGTAAAAAATGCAGGGTTCCACACAATTCATTCATTCATGTTGTCAAAACACAAATTGATTAAGTTAACTTAACAAATTTATGTGGATTGAACATAAAAAAATTAAGTTGTCCCAATGAAATCTCAGGAATTGTGTTGTTTCTGCTCATTTAAAAAAAAGTAGTTTGATCGAGCAAAATATACATTTTTGCAGGACTGTTTTTGACTGATATTTTACTTTTTGGTTGCGAGTGTTAATGTCAATTTGACATTAAGGTAGTTTACTTGCATTGTATTTGATGTCAACTGTCTATTTTAGTCTATTTAGTTTATTTACTGTCTATTTGCATTTAAGAGGTGATTTTTTTTGATGCCCGCCAGGTAATTTTTCCATACTCATTTGAAAAGTGTTTAAGAACTAAACCAGAATTAAATTTAAGCAAAGTATATAGATTGTTGGTTGATGTTCTTAACTGTGATGTTTAGACTGGTGGCCGAGGCCGTCTGGACCGAGCTCAAGCAGAGAAGCTGCTCTCCTCCCTCCGCAATCTGCAGGTATTCACTTCTCAAGCGTGAAAAGGTCACTCTGAGCTCTGGCACTGAACACTGAGGACACTGAGCTCTCACAATTATCAGCTTGTGTTGGGTTACATGGAGCTCGTCTTGCACAGACCAAAAGACCTTCAAATGTTGTTGTTGTTGTTTATCTTGTTTATGAACCCATTTGCTTCACTGTTTAAAAAAAAAGGTGTAAGGTTAAATGCATTTGAAAAAGTCCCAAATCACTAACAGCCAATGAGCAGTAAAGGCCGTGTAAAAAAAAACTTTTCACCATTTACTTGTAAGTGGCGGGTCCAGGACTGACACAATATGACAAGCCGTTTTGACATTTAATCTATCGCCCGTACTAGTATCTATTTTCATGTTACTTGTGCTTATTTTTTACATACTATTATTTTTTTCCATTAAGTACTAGTACTTATTCATTAGGTACTGGTGTTTATTAAAAATATACTAGTGCTTCCTCATTAGGCGCTAGCTCTTTTTATTAGATACTTGTTATCATTCATAAGATACTAGTACCTATCAAATAGATACTAGTACTTATTTTAATAGTGACTTGTAACTATTCTGTTGTTACTAGTAACAAACTAAAAAAAATTTCATTGGTTTCTCAATAAAATAGTTGATATCTCAATGACAGATCCCATAGAATTCAATGGCAATTTTTTATGTTACTAGTAATAACAGAATAGTGACTAATCACTATTAAAATAAGAACTAGAATCTAATAAATAAGAACTAGTATCTAATAAATAAGAACTAGTATCTAATGAATAAGTATCTAATACATAAGTACTAGTATCTATTAAATAAGTATTAGTATCTAATGAATAAGTACTAGTATTTAATGAACTAGTATCTAATACATAAGTACTAGTATCTTTAATAAGTACTAGTATCTAATGAGTACTAGTTTCTAAAGAATAGGCTCTAGTATCTAACGATTAAGAACAGGTATCTAATGAATAAGCGCTACCAAATGAAAAAGATACTAGTATCATAAAAATAAGCACTAGTAACATGAAAATAGATCATAGTACGGGTTATTGATTAAATGTCTAATTGACTTGCCATATATACTAGGAACATGAAAAATGGGCAAGATCTTGTTGGGTTATATAGCCGTGTTTGTTTTGATGCTAGGGGCAACGCGGTAGCGCAGTAGCTGTCACCTCACAGCAAGAAGGTCACTGTTTCGAGCCTGGGTCAGTTGGCATTTCTGTGTGGAGTTAGCATGTAACATGTACTCCCCTGGTTAGCGTGGGTTTCCTCCGGGTGCTCCGATTTCCCCCACCAGTCCAAAGACATGCAGTACAGGTGAATTGGGTAGTCTGAATTGTTCATAGTGTGTGTGTGTGTGTGTGTCT